GACAAACGATCGAACCTCGAAATGCGCGATACATCAGCTACCATTACTAGTGGCCACTTCCTGGCGAATATACATACCGATCTGTGAAGTCGGAGAGCAGCTGTTGCAGGGTACCGAAGTTTTCGGAAATGTAGGTCCTATGCCGGGGTAAGATGATGCCGGGTAGTCTCCACACGAGAAAGCTCTTGAAAATGAACATACACCAGCTCAAGGTTCTGTTCTTGCGTGGGTGAGGTGTTCTGGGGGTTCTCTTGGGGTCTTGTTCTACGAAAAATTGATCAGTATGGAGCATTCAGGAACGGTCGCATTCTCTTACATTGAAGAATCCTGAGGCAATTGAGACCTGATTGAGCCGCCGTGGAGGCCGTCTCTGCCGTCTCTGCCCTGCACGGCGGCCGCCGTCGGAGGCTGTCTCTGTGTTCTCACCTCCCCACCGGCAGCCTGCTGATGGCTACCATGGCCGCCGTTGCCACCATTTTGAATCCCACGCGGGCGGCTCAGGTAGAACAACGGCCGCCGCTGTGCTAGACGGGGGTCTCTGAACGGAGGCCCACTCGATTGTTGTTGATACATCGTCGACGGCCGACGCGGTATGAGGGCGGCGTAGGAGGGCAGACGGGCCAAAAGCGAAAAGTAGCGCTGCTATGGTGAGAAACTCATTTTGCAAATCAACCACAGTCGCTGATCGGGGATGTCCTAAATAGTCAATGCAGCTCCAAATGATCGTTGCATTTGCTGCAGAATTGGCGTTGAGGCTTGACGCTTCGTTATTCTGCACTGCAACATTGTCCAATTGGGGGTTTGCTCACCCCCCCTCCCTCCGGGTACGTACCGCCGCTTCCAGACTTCGCGCTTCCCGACTTCGTCAACAGATCTAGAACGAAGACCGAGCGGCACTTCCAACTTCCACGTTCTTGGAGCATCGGAGGCGAGTCTGGCCAACAAGGGGGTGGAGCATTCCCCACAACCTGCGGGCAACGATGCATCAACTTCTAGCGTAGAGCCAAAAATGGTCTCCGAAGAGTGGGTACACCACAGAGGCAAAAGTAGCCTCAAGTCAACCTCTTGCCGGCGAGATCCATTTCTGCTGTAAATGAATAATCACCCACGGCCTGCAGTACAGTACTGAAAAGGGATGTCAGAGTGGAATCCTTCGATAGTGAAGTCGAGTCCCTCCGGAGACGGGATGGGTCTGTGAAGACTCCGTACCAAAGTTACGAGATACGTCCAGCTTAGGATCCGGCGGAGCCCTTTACGCCTCTTGCCGTATCCACGGCGGCGCCATATATTCGTTCTCAAAGTTGAGCAGAACATGGGGTGGGATATGCACTTTGCTGATCTGCGTTCAAAGCAGCGACCTGTATTCCGATCCACTCTTTGCGCTTCGCTTCAAGTCGATATTGCACCAGATCGTTCGCTTGGGCGCCAACTCGAAAAGCCACTCACAGCTTATTCGTTTGACACGCAGAAGCAGTCATAAGCCAGCGATCGCCCCATTCTCCGTCTCGAGAATCCCAGCAAACAGCAGTTCTTTCAACCCACAGCCATGGCCACCACAACTGTCAGCAACGCCGGCGAAGACTGGTTACGAATTCAGCAGCTCATCTTCGAAAATGATGGTTTTCTGAAAATGCTCTCCAGCAAGGGCCTCTCCTTATTCCTGATCGGGGTCGACCTGTTCGACATTCTCGACGGAGAAAACCGACCCGAGTTCCATCTGCTCCTTACGCTTGCACACGCGGAGAAGGCAATGACGGAGCAATTCCCGAACGGATTGGCGACCGACCCGGAGTTGATCACCTCGCTCAAGACTTCTTTCAGAAACGGCAATGAGCTTGACGAGACGAGCTCGGTGTTGAAGATCAAGGCGGCTGAGACCACGATCCACTTGTACCTGCACAGTCTTCTTCATCCCGGCGCCGTCGAAGGAGAGATGCGCGCTTCTTCAGACGTTTTTGTCGCAAACAAAGGGGACGAGACAGTGACCGCTTTCCTGTCCACAAATGACTTCACGAAGCCTGCCGACCTGTTGGACTTCTGCTGGGCGAAGAAAGAGGCCGGCCAGAAAGATGGAAAGTCTCAAGCCGACGGGCTCGTCGTCAGTCTACCAGAGGGTACCTGCCCTGACCGCAACAGAACGTTCATCAGGAAGTAGGAGCCACGGCGGACGGCACGCCTTAGCGACGGAGACATGGAAAGCGCGGGGAAAACTTGTCTGTTGCGTGATAGAAACGTGCGCACATTTGCTTTAGTAGATGCAGGCTTAGACAGTTTCAACCAGACCTGTTTGTCAGTTCGCGGTGTGCCCTCAACAACGAGCTAGCTTTGATGTTCTTTCAGCTCCGACCAAATGAATGACGAACTAACTGGGCTCACCACGACAGTGCATGGCTAGATGATGTACCCAACTGCGTCCATGAGAATAGGCCGTTCATGGCGTGAACGGAGGCTCAAGTGGCTGGCGGGTTCGCGCCACTCTAGATTTTGAAATTTGAAGAAGCCCTATTTGTCCACCATCTCGTAGAGTCCTTAGAAAGTAGCCCGCTTTCTCTCGTCACAGCAGATATCTATTGTCGAGCCCGTCTTCAGCATCACGGACGGCATACCCCTCGCTAGCGTTTATGTCCCCTGTTTGGACGAGTGTCGAACATAGAGATCAGAAACACGTTCAATTCGAAAACTCTACACAGAACGAGCTGAGATTATGTAGCGAGGCCAGACAAATACAAAGAGAAGTTGGTGGATTGCAATCGACAGAGTGAGAATGACAGCGATACGTAACAGTTGTCTAGCGAAACGTCAGAGCTCGGCACCGCCTTGGCGTCGTTGTGTGTGGAGGAAACCGCCTCTATCTAGCCCCTTGCTTCCGACCACGCCTGGTTTCCGTCGTCTGAAGAACCTCATCCGGGGTGGGGCTGCGG